GAAAGATGTATTTACTTTATTACCTGTAAGCATTAACAGAAAGAATATATTAGAGAAAGTTCAAGAAGTTTAAATAAATGATTATATGAACACAAAAGGGACGTTAAAAAAAACAACACTTTAAATGCCTTGTTTGCTCACCTTAACATGACTGGACACAATTTTAACTTAAAATTTTTTACTCTGATTAAAAGAGAAAATAATTCACTAATACGAAAATGCGTAGAAAGGGTTTTAATCGCAAGTTCATCCACAGTAAATTGGTAGAATGAAAACATTAGATCTTCAGGTTAAACTTAGGTGGAACATGTAGGTTTGCCTGGCTCCTTAGAGAATGTCTCATATCGAGAATATTTAACATTGAAAAACATAAGGAAAAAAATCAATTATTTTTAATAATATGTGAAAATCTCCGCTTTTACCTGAAGACGGTCACGAGTCTAGAAACACGTGTAGTAAAATTATGAAAAGTAAAGCATAATATTTTTTCTAAAAAAACACATTACAACCAAAAACGTTTGCGGCAACTCTCTTTTGTTCTTTTTAATATACATACTTTTCTCTCGTTTGGAACCACTACAACCTCTTTTCTTTTATATATATATATATATATATATATATATATATATATATATATATATATATATATATATGTGTGTGTGTGTGTGTGTGTGTATATATATATATATATATATATATATATATATATATATGTGTGTGTGATAAGTACCGATTATTTCTATTACAACTAACAACGGTTTTATGCTAAAAAAGTTATCCCCTTGATACATAGCGTGTTCACGCAAATTCAGATATTTTATGATCATAAGAAGAGAAAATCTAGGAACATGATTTGGTTTACTCCCCCTTTCAAGCTAATAGTTAAAACTAAATTAAGACAAAAATTCCTAAACCTTATTAATAAACATTTTCCCCAAATTAAACCGCCTAGTAAAATATTTAATAATAATACAATTAAATTAAGCTATTGTTGAACGGACAACCTTGAGAAAATAACTAAAAAATGCAATAATAGAGTATAAAACTTAAAAATAGCAAAGAAAAAGTATAAAAATTAAAAAAAGCAAAAAAAATTATATAAATTAAAAAAAGCAAAAAAACATTATAAAAATTAGAAAAAGCAAAAAAAAACATTATAAAAATTAAAAAAAGAAAAAAAAAAGTATAAAAATTAAAAAAAAAAAAAAAAAAAACAACCCAAAAAACAAATATAAAAATAAAAAACAAAACAAAACATGACGTATTCCAAAAGCTAGGCAGAGTATTACGAGACAGGAGGATTTCGTTGGTAACAAAGTAAAGATTACTGAACTGCTATGTGATATCTATTCTTCTTTACAGCAACTAATGTTGAACGATCTCCTCAAAGAGGAAGAAGAAACTCGAGGCAACAGAAGCATGGTTCTGTAGAGGATGCTAAGGATACCATGTGCCAAACATGTGAGCAACGATGAGGTTTTGGAGAGGATGCAAACAGAGAGGAAACTTAACGGGCTTAAACAAGTGGATGGCAGAACAAGGTCTGGGGAAAATAACAAAACTTATTGAGAACTACATGAGACAGGAGGAAGCGGAGAGTCATGATTACCTACGTCCTGAAGGGACACGGCACATAAAAGAAGAAGAAGGAAAAGAAGAAGAAGGAAAAGAAGAAGAAGAAGAAGAAGAAGATGAAGAAGTAGAAGAAAAAGAAGAAGAAGAAAAAGAAGAAGATGAAGAGGAAGAGAGCAATACGAATGCAGAAGGATGTGTATCTGTGTTTTATGTAAAAACGTTTGATAAAGTTCATCACAAAGAACTGTAGAACTGCTGGAACTGCAAAGGATATGAGAACAACCCGGAACTTATAGTGTGAGCAATCCGCCTGCATGCGGACAGAAAATGAATTCAGTAAATACACAGAAATAGTAAGGGAGGGGGGTAAGACAAGGATGTATCTTCTCACCGGACATATTCAATGTTTTCAGTGATTCCTGAGAGAATCAGAAATCCTACCAGAATTTATTATTGACAGAAACTTAAGAATATAAGATATACAGATGACACAATGTTGACAGGAGACACAGAAAGGTAACTATAGGAACGCCTACAGAAGGCAGTAAAGGAAAGCGAGAAGAAAGCACTAAGCATCAACTGTAAAAAGACAGAATGCATGTTTTTTCAGCAAAAGAAACAGTTCAAGATAGGAATTACACATTGAAGATACTAAAATTAAACAAGTGCAAAAAATAAAATATCTAAGAAAAATACTTTCATGGTAATTGCTCCGATGAGCTGCTTTCACTGGTTCCCAGACTCCATGAATTCAAGCGCCCTACAAGGCTGACATCCCGCTCCCACCCTTACACTGTAGAAACTTTTAAATGCAGCCGTCTCTTCTACTCCAATAGCTTCATACCTCACACCTCTCGCCTGTGGAACACCCTTCCCAATTACTGTTTCCCTGAGAGCTATAATCTCCAACTATTCAAATGTAATGTCAATCGACATCTACAGTTACCTTGATCTATCCACTATCCCTCTCCTCATCCTTTCTTCTATCTCTCCTATCTGCTCTTGCTCCAAATCTTCTGCAACCCCTGCATCCTAGTGGCTTCACGCCTTGCTCGGGGCGTAATGCTTAAAAAAAAAAAAAGAAAAAAAAATTGTTTTAAAAGAGGACGGAAAATGTGCCACCCTAATCTTAAGGCAAGGATAGTGAAAAATGCCTTCAAAAGTTAAGAAAAGGATTAAGAAACAGGAACATTTCATTATAAACAAAGAAAACAGTACTGTAATATCGGTCCTCCTATATAACAGTGAATGATGGACCATCACATCACAGATGGAGTAGAGACTTTGGGCAACAGAAAAGTAGTTCTACAGATGGATGCTGGGAATACCATAGACTGAACATGTCAGCAAAGACGAAGTTTTTGAGAAAAGGGATTAAGAAAATGATGCTTATGCGTAACATCAGAAAGAGACAAGCACATAATGATGCAAGAGGGTTTGAAAAATTAGTAATTTCATCTTCATCTATGTCTCGAGTCATCTCTGGGCGTAGTCGATCATAGAGGGCATATTGAAGGCAAGAGGGACAGAGGAAAGCAGTGTATAGCCTACCTAACATGCTTGTGTAAATGGCTGACAGAACAGAGATTAACAGAGATAAAAAAAAAACAAAATTTACTAAGAGCTTACAAAGTACAAGAAGGTTATGGAGAGCCATGATCGCCCACGCCCAGAGAGGACTCGGGACATAGATAAAGATGAATTTACTAATTTATCTAAACGCCGCCACTAAAAATAACTTTTTGTCAGGCGGAGACCGCCCGTTCTCCCTCAAATCTAGGTTTGCCAATGCTTATGCATTTAGTACAAATTTCTGGAATTCTAATATTTGGGGAACAAAAGTGAGCAGTATATGCCACTAAATATGATAATTAAAATCTTATATTCGAGCATATGAACTCCGAATGGCGTGACGATTTCTGACAGTAACTTTGTTTTCCTGTCCGCAACTTTTGTTACGCTGAAATCAAAAATCAACGAATGACCCTGATTCTTACGTCTCAGCTCGTAAAAAAAATGACATATATATATATATATATATATATATATATATATATATATATATATATATATATATATATATATTCCAACGTTTTGATGCTTGAATACACAGGTAAAATTAACTTGTATATGCTAAAGTAGGTAGAGCAGACACTGGTTCTAGGAAGAGGGCTGAGACACGACATTTTGATCGAAGTTGTGTACACAGATACTACACTGATCATAGAAAGAGGGCTGGTAAGCAATATTTTGATCATATGTTTAGTGCACAGATACTACACTGATCGTAGGAAAAAGGCTGGGGAGTGACGTTTTGATCGTAAATTGAGTGCACAATTTTTTTTATTTTTTTTTAAGCGAATCACCCCAAGTAAGGCGGGAAACCACTAGCACGCAAGGGGTTACAGAGAATTCGGACGAGAGAAAAGAGGAATGATAGAGGAAAGGATGAAGAGAAGGATAGGGGATAGATCAAGGCATCTGGAGACATCGATTGACATTACATTTGAATAGTTGGAGATTATAGCTATCAGGGAAACAGGAAGAAGAGAGAAAGTTCCACAGGCGAGAGGTGCGAGACATGAAGCTATTGGAGTAGAAGAGACGGCTACATTTAACAGTTTCGACAGTGAAAGGGTGAGAGCGAGATGCCAGCCTAGTAGAACGCTTAAATTCATGAAGTCTGGGAACCAGCGAAAGCAGCTCATCGGAGCAGTTACCGTGAAAGTATTTGTAAAAAGACAGATGGAGGCGACGGCACGTCTGTGAGAGAGCGGCCGCAGACGAGATGCCAGATCAGGGCCAATTACATTGCATATCCGTCTTTGGATACTACAAAATTCATAGAAAAAGGTTGGGGATTAAATTTTTATTTGTAGATTGAGTGCACAGATACTACACTGATCATGGAAAGATACCTGGAAAACGACATTTTATCGTAGATCGAGTGCACAAATACTATACTGATCCTAGGAAGAGGGCTGAAGGAGTGACACTTCGATCTAACGTTGAATGCACAGATACTACACTGATCATAGAAAAATGTTGGGGAGTGACATTTTGATCGTAAAATGAGTGCACATATACTACACGCTTTACAAAAAGAAAACTAGGGAATGACATGTTTATTGTAGATTGAGTGCACAGGTACTACCTTAACCGTGGGAAGATAGCTAGAAACGATATTTTATCGTAGATGCTAAACTGATCATAGGAAGTAAGCTGGGAATGACATTTTAATCTTAAATTGACTGCGCAGATACTACACTGATCATAGGAAGTGGATTGGCTTAGTTTGTTAGCAAATCCTTTTCGTGTCACGTGAAACTTAATGCGATGATGAAAGTAAGTCACTTTTATCAGCTAATTTGTTGTCAGGTTTTTGCTGTGCTCGACCTTGGTTTCTGATATCTTGCTCCCTCATTTTAATCCAGGTCTCCTTGGGTCCGCCGTGGTTTCTTTTGCGCTTTGATGTCCAGATGAGGGCCGACATGGTCAGTGAGTTTTAGGCGTTTCTGAGAACATGTCCGAGTCATCTCCACCGACGTCTTTGTTCAATAGTCGCAATGGTTTAGGCTTTTATCAAAAGCAGTCACCTTATCGAGCATATTAGTCACGTGCTTGGGATACCATTATCAGGCGGGGTTTATGAGGGGTATATTGGGATTCTTATATACCTACCCCAGCGTCACTTTGTTGGCGTGCTGCTTTCTCGTTCAATAATAATAACTCGAAAGAACCGTGAAAATCTCACGGTTTTCCAAGTTAAATTTTCTGATTAATCTTTCTGTTGAATTCTTAACTCTTAATCCTAGAACACTAACCATGGGTATATAGTACCCAGCGCAAATTTTTCTATTTTTAATTACAATTTTCAGTATCTGATTTTCTTACCTAAATAATGTTTTTCAGTTCCTATTAATGTTAACTCAAAGTACAAAGTTTGAAGTGCCTGCATGTAAAATATTTCAAATAAAGATTTATATTCAATATTTTTTTGATATTTTCAAAATTGGGTATGATATAACTGTTATGGTGTCCACCCCTTTTTCATACAAGTGGACTCGACCAGTGTGTAATTGTACTGCTGCCGTTAAATACCCAGAGTCAGTCAGAGTAGAGACAGAGATTGTGATTGAGTTGGAGGTAGAGCAATAGTGTGAGGCAACCGCTTGTAGAAGTCACAGTTACAAGCACGTAGACTCTAAGGAAGTCCTACTTCGAGACTGAATTTACCAGACTGTATATATATACAGTGTAACCTGGATATAAGAGAGTTGTCGGGACCGGAGAAGAAGTCTCTTATATCCGGGTTTCTCTTATATCAGGGTTTGGTCTATTTTATATACATTAACACAGGCTCTAATTTGGGACCAGATAAAATCTCTCTTATATCCGGGTTTCTCTTATATCCGGGTCTCTTATATCCGTGTTACACTATATATATATATATATATATATATATATTATTGCTACTAACCGCGTTTCTGGATTTACTAACCGATTTACTTACCAATTGTATTATTGTGTAAATACATTTATTTGTTATATCTCATTTCTGCGTTTGTCATTCATTGGAGACCGAATTTCATCTCGGAATCCACAACAATAACAATGGTTAGTAGTGGTGTAAATTTAATTGATGGTTAATGTTCAAGGTTAAGTTAATGATTGAATAAGCTCATGGCGACCAATAGAGCCAATAACGTTGCAGATTCTTTGCAAGAATCTCTAAATATATAGCAGGATCACCAGACCAGATGTAACAGCAATATTCAAAACAAGGACGAATGGCAGAGTTATAAATATGTAACATAGATTCTGGCGAGAAAAAAATTATCTACAATGAACTAACCTTCTTAACAGAAGACAGAGAAATTAATTTAATATAATCTTTCCACTTCATGTCACCGGAAAACGTTACTCCGACAAAGCGCAATGTCACTCTCCTGGAGGTTTACCAAATTAAATTTTCTGATTAATCTTTCTGTTGAATTCTTGACTCTTAACCCTAGAACACTAACCATGGGTAATATAGTACCCAGCGCAAATTTTCCTATTTTTAATTACAATTTTCAGTACCTGATTTGATTACCTGGAGGTTAGCATCAGCAATGAAGATGAAAAGAAAAACTGGTTCTTTCAAACTATTAGAAGAGAGAAGTTTCGTTTTGGAGGTGTGAAAATTAAAAACCATTACTTCCTACATTTAACAACAGATTGTGGGTCATTTTTTTAAGGTCAGCTGCCAATTTGATCTTATCAAAAAGAACAGACTTACTATTAAGATAGGACTAAATAGTTGTATCATCAGTGTAGTATCTGTGTACACAACTTCGATCAAAATGTCGTGCCTCAGCCATCTTCCTAAGATCAGTGTCTGCTTTACCTACATTAGAATGTACAAGTTAATTTTACCTGTGTATTCAAGCAACAGAACGCTGGAGTATATATATATATATATATATATATATATATATATATATATCATTTACTTACCTCGAGCTGAGACGTAAGAATCAGGGTCATTCGTTGATTTTTGATTTCAGCGTAACAAAAGTTGCGGACAGGAAAACAAAGTTACTGTCAGAAATCGTCACGCCATTCGGAGTTCATATGCTCGAATATAAGATTTTAATTATCATATTTGGTGGCATATACGGCTCTTTTTTGTTCCCCAAATATTAGAATTCCAGAAATTTGTACTAGATACCCAGGTGAGAACTGATGACACCAGGAAGGTTGTTGATGAAAATTAGAAACCACGTAAATCCAAGGATAGCGCCCTGGGGAACACCTGCATTAATGTAAAATGATCTAGAAGAGTGGCCATTCAAGACCTCTTTCATTTTGCGATTTGTTAAGAAAGATTGAATCAGTTCAAAAATTCGTTTCGAAATACCATAACCTTTGAAGAAGACCAGCATACCAAACCTTGTTAAATGCCTTCCAGATATCCAAAGCAATAGTCCGAGCTTCACTATTTTTATTTAAAGCTTGATAGACTCTTTCAGGAATAATCAGTTATTGACCATCAGCAGTTGACCAAGAGAAGCAAAAACCATATAACTTATCTAAAAGAAGAACCTGCCAAGTGAGATGCTTAACCAATACAATGCTAATTAGAGATTTAATAATGAATCAGTTTTGCAATAATGTCTTCTAATTCTTTTATTGCACAAAGTTTACAAAAAATAATGGTTGTACAGACGTGTGTGTATGGGTATAAATTAATCATCGTTTTATTCACCCAGGTATTTTATTCATATTTCAGAGATATTTGATATTTATAGAGGGTGAGGTAAATATACTTACTTCCTATATAATGGTAAGGCATTAGCTAGATGAAGACAACATTGCCACAAATATCTTACCATTATGTGGGCGGTATATGTGGACGTGTGTTCTACGACAATAAAATATTCATAGAAATCTCTCTATCTTATCGTTAAATATTTGAGATTTATAGCAAAATATTGCAATAGCAATCATACATATGAATGTTAGTCGTTATTTTAAGAAGTAAGGGGGTACAAACGAAAGGATTTGAAATTGACAACTTTTCCGATTTCACTGAAGCAGCTGCTGAACACTTCTGTCTGTCTGTTTTCCTTTCTTTCTTTCTTTCTTTTTTTCTTTCTTTCACTGAAATCAAGTTATATATTTATTTTGTAAAAAAATACAAAATTGTGGCACAAGGCCGAAGGGGAAGTGGGGAAAAGCTGGTCATTCACTAGCTATCCTATTCCTAGTTAACCACAATCATGAGCCATTCATTTATTACAATTACACATTCACCACAAGAACTCATCCATTACCTTTCAATCTTTCACACACCACAATACCACATATACACAAGGGTCTTACAAAACACCCCATGAATTAAAAATTTGTAATGTTCAACTGAAATCAAGTTATATCTTTTCCCTTCTTTCCACGCGATCAAAACAGAATAGTTCATTATTTCTGAGGTATTGGCAAGATCTTCCATTATCTCTCTTAGACAATTCCCCGTTTTACGAACATTTCTCTTAATAACAATTTAAAAATAATTCAAAAGATGACGTTGCTATATTTAATTTTATTCTAATTGGATTTTTGCGTTACTCCGTCTCTGTCGTTTGATATAATGCGTCTGAAAAATTTCACTTTAATGTCGGTTGTCATTAGTTCTCGGCCTTTTGGCTAAGATCAAAGTGTAGTATCTGTTCTTATCACCTTAATCCAATTTTCTCTCTGCACTTCTATCTTCCGACTTTCATTCCCTTCTTTGCACGCGATCAAAACACGGAATAGTTTATTATTTATAAGCTATTGACGGGGAATAACGGTCGTGCTAACTAGCGAACGAAGGGACAAGTACAATTATAAATTGTAATTGACTCATATTTCAAGCTCAGGATTCTATGCTGTAAATGACCTTTTGGATTTTAGCTGTTCCCGTCTTTTTCTCTTCGTTACTAATTCACCAGAATTCATAAAATAGCCGACATTCTTCTTTTATGAGCCATTTACCTTCAAGGCGTAAGCGATCAAGGCTCTCCACAACTTTCTATCTTTTGTAACTATTACTAAGTTTTGTCTTTTCCCCAACCGTTCTAGACTTTTTTTTATGTTTTCAATTTACACGCTGTTTCCTTTTTCTTCACTTGCCTTTCAAAATGGCTCGTGAGTGTCAAATTCTCTGAACCCTCTTTCTTCACTCTGTGTCCTGGAAATTGCTACTTCCTCTATCTGATTCTAAATGACCCTCTTGTTCTAATTTTCCTTACAACTTCTGTTAATGTTATTTTCATTTGTAGAACACGATCACTGTTGCTTTAAGTCACGTTTTTATCTGTGAGGAAATTGTCCAGCATTCACTGTCATATAGGAGAGTTGATATTACACAGCAATTCAGGTCACTTTTCGTTGTTTCTAACAATATTTTTCTTTTTTTGTTAATAATCTCTCTCTCTCTCTCTCTCTCTCTCTCTCTCTCTATCTATATATATATATATATATATATATATATATATATATATATATATATATATAATAGATAGATAATAGATAGATAGATAGATAGATGATAATGGGGATACTGAGATAGATATAGATAGATAGATAGATAGATAGATAGATAGATAGATAGATGAATAATGGGGATACTGAGATAGATAGATAGATAGATAGATAGATAGATGAATAGATAGATAGATAATGGGATACTGAGATAGATAGATAGATAGATAGATAGATGAATAGATAGATAGATGAATGATAGGGGGATACTGATATAGATGAATAGATAGATAGATAGATAGATAGATAGATAGATAGATAATGGGGATACTGAGATAGATAGATAGATAGATAGATAGATAGATAGATAGATAGATAGATAGATAAATATCGTTATTCCAAAGTATCTTCGGATTTCGGTGTCACGCCTTTTAGCCTCTTTTAAAACACTTCCTAGATATCTGAACATCTTTACTTGCTAGATTTCACGTTCTTTAATTCTTAGCCTGAATTACGAACGTTAAATAAAAAAAAGCGATAAACAATTTAAAAACAAATGAGATAGGCGATCATAAGTGTAGGTGATAATGTCCCTATGACATTATTAACTTAAACTCTACGTACCTGATAGGGATCCCATACCTGGTTGTGTACGTACATGTTGTCATGAACTATCTGGGCAAAGAGAAACAGGATAGCAACGAACAAGCCCATTACAACATCATTGTCTGTATGGGTGCCCAGCCTTTTGGTTGAAATGAAGAAGACAGGAATTAGGAAAGCGGACAATTAAGGAGTCAGTGATGCGAATGCCTGTGACCCGGGCAGTTGGTCTAAAATCATGACAAACAGCAGCTATGTTTATATACACCCATTAATACAAATAAACCTTAACAAATGTTCTTTTATGCAAATTTCTAATCAACCAATGATGTGGTATCAATTTAATGGATAAAGACATTTAAATATGGTCATGACGACCTGCTGAATTTCATTTCATGCATTAGGATGGGAAAGAAAGTTGGGCAATGTTTAACCTTTGTGCCTGCAAAAAAAAATCAGTAGGTCAAAACGATGGCTTTCAATTGACACGGCTGTTATTTTGTACTACCTTCACTCCCTCGATAGTGTTTATTTACAAGATTATAAAAATATGTGAACTAAGTACTACGTGATATTTATTATATACTTTTAATAAATATTTGTTATTTACTACCTTATAAAGAAATAAATGTGAAAAGAAATCGTTTTCAAAATTTTTTTTAAAAATTACAAAATTATCAATAAAAGATTTATTATTTACCATTTTATAAATCACTATGTAAACAAGTTTTTTTTTCTTCATTATTCGGACTATTGTCCTCATCTTTGTCGCCATATTTATTATAACGTTTCGGCCGTTGTACGCTCCGGCCTTCTTCAGGTGGTTGGAATGTCGAACTGAACCCTTTATTTCGCTCACTGGGGTAGACTGTTCTAGTTCCACGTGCCATGTTTAATGGATGTCAGTTATCCTGTTAATTTCCCTCTCCAAGATCTCCATTGCCTTAACCGGGTATTGAGTGGAGGCAGTGGAGAACTTTCAGAGGGGAATTAACAGGAGATAACTGATAACTGACATCCATCAAACATGGTACGTGGAACCAGAACAGTCTACACCAGAAATATGGCAACAAAGATGATGACAATAGTTCGAATAATGTAAATAATGTACATAAAACCTCATCTCAAAATTTTTTTTATTCATATATTTAGGTTTTATATAAATTCTAATCATCACTTTTTAGACCGATAATGTGAGGGAAATGAGTATTTTTATTGTTTAGTAATTTTTTAAAATAAATTTATGAATAAAAAATTGTTTTCATATTTCTTTATAAATTGATAAATAATGAACATTGTATTAGTTCGCATTTTAAAAAAGTTGTAAATCTAAAATTATCCTTGTAAATAAACAATCTAATAAATAAACAAGTGCCTTATATCTAAAACAATCTAATAAATAATAAAGTGCCTTATATCTAAAACAATCTAATAAATAAATAAGTGCTATATATATATATATATATATATATATTGCCAATTTCCAAAGAACAGCGAAAATGTATAAATTCACTTTCATATATTTGGGTTTTATTCTATTCATCTCGTTTTAAAATAAACAAATATTACCGAGGGAGTGAAAATAGTTAAAATAATAAACATCGCCAAGGGAGTGAATATAGTTAAAATAACAGCGGTTTCAAGGGGAAAACCATCCTTTTAACACACCGTTTTCTTGCAGGAACGAAGGATAAATTTTGCCGAAGTTTGGTTTAAATGTCTCCAGTCCAAAAGTTACAGGTCTGAGCATGTCAAATGTTGCCTATATACAGTGTAACCCGGATGTAAGAGAGTTGTCGGGACCGGAGAAGTCTCTTATATCCGGGTTTCTCTTATATCCGGGTTTGGTCTATTTTATAATCATTAACACAGGCTCTAATTTGGGACCAGAGAAAATCACTCTTATATCCGGGTTTCTCTTATATCCGGGTCTCTTAAATCCGGGTTACACTGTGCAAGGATTTTCACACCCAACTATCTCTAGGGGTTTACAGAAATTAGTCAGAAAAAGAAATTCTAGTGTGCAACAGTAGGTTAGATGCAGAACAACTCCATCCTGTCTGGACATCTCTGCTCCAAAGAAAAATATGAAAAAAAAAAAGAAAAAAAAAGGGGGCAATTTATAGAGTAAAAAACAAAAATCCTTTTTATTTTTTTTTTATGCCTGAACTTGCTATTACGTTGTAAACTTCATCAACTCAGTTTGTTTTCCTTGATTTGAATTCTTAACCGTTTCTAGTTTTTTTTGCATTGTTTTGCTCATATTAAGGGAGTCATCATGACTAAGAACTGCTAGTCGAAATATTCCCATGAAATAAACCATTCATTGGAACTACAAGTTTTTCTTTTAATTATAAAAAAAGACGTTAAAACAACGCAACTTATAAATTTCAAAGAAGCGTTAAATATTTAAAAATTAACAGATTTACATTGGCCAGAATTGTTAAGGCAGATAAGAAAGACAATAGCAGGTCAAATAAACCTTTTTTTTCCAATGGAGGTCGGCAAAAGATCATCTCTGAACGCACAGCATGTCGAACCTTGATTTTACTCTACAAATTGCCATTTTTGTACGCCTTGAATTAATTCATCAACTCGGGTTTTTTTCCCTTGATTTGAATTCTTAAGCGTTTCTAGTTTCTTTACACTGTTTTACTCAAATTAAAGAGTGACCAAGACTAGCAACTGCCAGTCGAAATATTTCCATAAAATAAATCATTCGTTGAAACTACAAGTTATTTCTTTTAATTATGCAACTACCAACAGAGAAAAGCATCCTAAATTTGGTGCGAAAATTCTGTTGATGAAAGAGGTTAGAAGTCAATGGCCAGAATTGTTAAGGCAGAAAAAACAATAGCAGGTCAAATAAACCCCTTTTTTTTCAACGGAGGTAGGCAGAAGAGCGTCTCTGAACGCACAGCATGTCGAACCTTGTAACAGATGAGCTACAGCAGCAGAAGACTACGCCCGGTGCTACTAAGAACAGGAAGCTGAAGTTACAGTTCGTTAAGGTTCATAAAATCTGGACAGTTGAAATTTTGAGAAACGTTACCTGGTTTGATGAATCTCGATTGTTTAACAGTTATTGAATTTAAAAATAAATATCTGTGAAAAATCAACGAGATTTTTACAATATAAATATTGAAGTAAAATATAAAGATAGTGATTTGACATCGGAAAATAAGCGAAAAAATAAAACGCGTATATCCAATAAAAATAGTGAATTCATATAATTATAATTATTACAATTACCCAAGTACCATTGAAAATGGCGGTAATTGAAAATTTTAATAGAAAGCTGGAAAGAAACGATATATTGAGATTCAATAAAACGGCGATAAAGAAATCACAATTAAAATAGAGGCCAATGAATCCTTTCAATTAATCCGTTCCTTTTATATTTTGTATATGGTCAGTGATATCTATGTTTCTTTAATTACTCTTAGTATTACATAAATTCCTTTTTGATCAACATCTTTTCGTGTTAAAAAAATCTGTATTTAATATAACAGTGACTCAGAATAGAATCATCTCTCGAAAGAAACACTTATCAACCGAACGGTAAAGACGGCGACGACAAAGCCTATCTCAAGACAATCACATATCAGACAAAGGTATCTGCGTCCCTCGCAAGAAAGGCATGAACAAATAAGACTGCAGTCTAAGTAACGTAGTTACAACGGAAGGAATTAATTATTTAATTTCGCTTGTGAACTGGTTTTGTCAACATAAAGATAATTATTTTATTTGTATAGATTATCAAAATGACTAAGGATAGTAACCTCTCATGCATTTACTACCATAAGTTGATTTATCTCATTTGACACTATATAGCGTGACACAAAAGATATAAATTACACAACGGTAATTATTATATAGTAGATTACTCTAAAAGTCATTTTAGTGAGTGTGCGTGTTTGAGTTAACACCCTTGCTTTGTTTTTTTTTAATTTCCTTAAAGAGTGAAATTAATAACAACTGGCATAGATCGAAAATTCATACTAAAGAGAAATGTGTCTCCCCATATGAATCAAACGTATATTTCCCGTTTTAATCAGGGAAACAACTCCTATAGTCAAAGCGTACCAATTAAGCCACATGTAACCAGCATGATATGATAAGGCTAATTTACCTAGTTAACTGTTGTAAAAAAAAAAAACGAAATTCAAATCAAACACGTATACTCACTAAAAATAACGTTTAGAGTAATGAGAAATATTTTCGGACTAGAAAAAAATTAAATTTAAAATCACTGTGTTTATATTTCGGGTACGAAAACAAATCTGACGGATACTGATTCGGAGAAGTACTAACGCAAAATGTACAATCCTTACTATTATTAGTAGTATATTTAATGATCATAATAATGTCACTATTAAAAAAAAAGCGCTGTACCTTAAAAACGTAGACGACCATGTCACTCCACAATTTAAATATTCTAATTTATTCTGTTATTTAACTCATAGGCAAGAAAGGAAATAGAGTCATGTCTCCCCAAAGAGCATTAGTGTGATATGAACGCAACAGAAGATATGCAGATGACACGGTGTTTATAGCAGATATGGAAAGGAAACTACAAGAACTCCTACAGAAGGTAGTGAAGAAAAGCAAGAAGAAAGGACTAAACCTCAACTGCATGATAATAGAATACATGGTTGTTAGCAAAAGGGGCAGCCCAACGCGCAAATTACAAATTGGGGATACCAAAATCAAACAAGTACAAATATTTAAATATTTGCGAAGTGTTTTAGCAGAGGACGGAAAGTGCGACATTGAAACCCGAAGGTGCATTGAGATAACCAACAAAACAAAATGGCTGGTTAGGGTTAGATAGGTGACCGCTTGGGAATACCATGCGCTGTAAGTTTGAATTCGCTGGTGGTCTAAAGCGCTTAAGGCCATATCACTTTGAAACATCGGTTCCTGTACGATTACCGAAGATAAAAGAAAATGTTTTAGCAAAAGACTGAAAATGCGACACTGAACTCTAAAAGGGCATTGGGATAACAAGGATGAAAACTAAACAAAATATTAAGAAACAGGAAAAAATTCGTTAGAAACAAGGAAGAGAGTACTGAACTATTACGTAATATCAATCCTCCTATATGACA